AAACCACAATAACGCTTAAAGAACCCATTTTTCTCCCGGGACATCCCAACCCTCCAAAATGGTAAAAAATGTCTGGAAGTTTACCACCACCTACACTGTGGGACTCTCCTCCAACCCCCTCCTGAGTCACAGGAATTTTTGCGCTCCTGTCATAAGCCATAATATGAACCACTATAGTTTACGCAAAATACTAAGCCAAAAACAACTAAAGCACCTTATGGCTAAACATGATAAGTGAATGAACTCATCAGCTTGCTGCTGTAGATGTTGGAGTTTGATTATACCTATCCAAATCTACCATGATTTTCCAGAAGAATGCAATGCAAAACGTGGTCTTTTGTTATGATTAGATTACTACTTCTGACTGATTGGATGATGCTTACCTCTTGTCATCAGCAAACTTTTGTCCTGCAAGTGGATAGTTTTTGAAATCCATCCATGTCTTAGACGAATAACACAAATAGCACATCAGCCTCTGCAACAATAAACATAATGCACTGCACTGTGTTTATTCTGAGGGTTAAAAGCAAGTGTGAGAAAGAGAAACTCTCCTTTTTTGCAATGACTGCTTTACGAGATATGGAATTTATTCACTCAATTCTACTAGAAGATGTCAGACACCTTTCTCTCTCGACTTAAATACTTCCTGAGATTCCTGCGTGCCTGATACTCAGCCATTAGGCTGTGTGGAACTGGAGATTCAATTCTAAAAAGGTGCTTTGGAGCAGTGCACCTGTGAGCTGTCTGCATCTCATGAAAGCAACTGTGTCTTTCCCCAAAATTATCCAGCTATCTTCTGCTACATAATCCCAGGAAAAGACACAGCTGATTTAAAGAGTTGAAAACAGGGGGTGTGGACACATTCTGTGCAGTTCAAAGTGGTTTTGCAATTGAATCCCAAACACTGCCCAACTGTACTAGACAATGTGGTTGGTCTTCTGTTCTTGCAACACTACAGAGGAACTGCTACTCAGGTGTTTCACTCTGACTCACTTGAAATTTGATAAGCCCAGAGCTACAACTGCATGCAGATATCCGCTAAGGATATCCCTTTATGAAGCCAGCAAAATGGATTCTCATCCACCAAAAAGGTAAGTCATATCATATTCCTTAAACTGAGACAAGTTTACCTTTCAGTTTCAACTGTTTGCTGTTTTTTTCCTTTTCTTGCTAAAACGAGTAATACTTTAAAGCCACTTTCCGCCAACCTTGATACTCTAAGGACCTCAGTTCCCTTTCCTCTTGTCTACTTGGGGCTTTCAAGGTTTTTGCTAAGTAGGCAGTTTAAGCAGGTGCTTGTTCATTTTGACCGAAATAAGTCAGAACTGGAGCAGCTCCATTCTGTACCAGGTGAAGTTTTAGCATTTTTGGGTCCTTGCAGCGATTGGCTTTTTCTTCTTCAAATCTGATGGTTGTTTCCTTTCCAGATTTGCTCCCCCGCTTAAAAAATGCAGCTGCTGGTTCTGATGTGTAAATTAACACAAGGTGGAACTTGTTTAGCTGAGTAAGAAGATAATACTGGTGGTAGTGATATCACTACAAAGATACTCCTCTTACATCTAGATAGGTTTTTTTACAGGAGATCTATGTCATGAAAAGTCCAGAATAAGAATTCTAGTAAGACACAAAAAATTGTCTGCTTTGTTAAAGGGACTCACACAGAGGTCTTGAGTAACTGAACTGCCTGAGAGTGTCATCCATGTGACATGTATGAACAATGGCGCAATCTAAGAAGTGTGTTCTTCCAGTGCCCTTTTCTTAGCCCTATATCCAGGGAGGTACAACTTAGAAGATGTATGATTTGATGTCTTGAGTTAAATTTTTTTTTTTTTTGCTAAAAAGAGCTCTGCTGGGCATTCCATTGAATTAATAATAAATAAGATGGAAAAGAGTTTTACTCAATTCCCTTTCAACATGTGCCCTAACAGTAATTGTCATTCTTCACCTCCCCAAGCACTTAATGCATTGCATTTTATAATAAAAAAGCAGGAACACTGAGTACATGCCTTATGCGTATGTGCCACTGTTAATCTCTGGTGACTTGTCACCCAGAACAACTGGGGGCTTGCTTTATTTGAAATGCTGTTTTCCAAACTGGGCTGTATGTTGCTAGTGGATATCTTGAACTTAGAGAAGGAATATTAAAATTCAATGAATAAAATGTTAAGTAACCCCAAACAAAAATGCAACTCCTCTTATATAGCTATCAGCAGGGGAAATTCTATTTATAGCAGTCAACAAGAATTTGTTTTGGAATTCAGTTCTACTCCAAAGTCACAAGGTCTCCTTTCACCCCAAATAATGTGCTGGGGTATTTGAGTTGACTTTTACATTCACATAATTGTGGTTCTCTAAGATCTGATGTGAAAACCGCCAATTGGCTGGATCTGTTGCAACTTCACAACCTCCCTGATTTTTGTCATCTCAGGCAGGAAAAAAAAAGTAGGAAAGAAATGTAGAGAAACCCTGGATCCCATGCCAAATCGTGCTGGTGCGGGCTCTTTTTCTTTTTTTCTTGCAGATTACATGCCGATACGCAGGCCTGGGCTGTATATATTCTGCCTATTTACAGCAAAGAATTCTGGCAAAGGGCATCACGTGATTGTTGCTTCGGGTCTCTAAGGCTGGGCAGTGGAAGCCTACTTGGGATTGCCACGTTTTGCAATCGGAGGTCTATTTTTAATTTAAACAAAATTTGTTGCCTGCAGACATTGGTTTTACAGGATACGGACCGTGGTTTTGTTCTCAGTATTTCGACACTCCAAATGCTTTCCAACTCCAGCCATGTAGGTAGCAACAGTGTGAGTCTGATGGTTTTAACGTAGGGGAATGCTACCTTGGCAAATGGCATTTTGCTTTCTCGGCAGCAGCGCTGGGCATGCCCGTTTAGCAGAACAAAGGTTCTTCCTGTGATTCTGACATGGCTTTGTGGCTAGTGAAGATGTGGCATGGGATCTACGTGCACATCTGGTGCTGTTTAATCTGCTGCAGCAAACAGGGTTGGATATTTTGCTCATGCTGAAAAGGGAGCAGGAGCCCACATGCCTTTGGTGTATGTCAGGGTGGGAGAGCCTGCAGCCATCCCAGACACTGCTGAACTGTACTTCCATCCAGCATGACCGTTGGGCTGGGAGTTGCGATTTCTCAACAGCTGGAGAGGGCAAGGGGTTCGCCACTCTTGATTCATACCGTGGGTCCTGGATGAGCAACAGCAGCCAAGGGGCGTGGTACACAACGGCAGATCCCACCCATCCCCAATGGGGAACAGTACGAGGCTCATAATGTAGTTGGCTCAGAGCACTGAATGGACCCAGCAGTTTTTTGCTTGGTCAGAAACCTGGATGAAAGCAAACCGTGTTATCGTGATCCAGCCTGCGTGACTGGGCTCGCACACCAGATAAAACCAGAACGTAGTTTGTTGTTGTCATGTATTGTATGATCCCAGCCAATGCCTTGGCAAAGAAAGGTTTATGGCCTAGTTTATGGTTTGCTCTGCCATTGATAGCCAACCCAGGTTCCCAAGTTCCTTTTGTCCTTCAGACCAAAACAGGATTTTTGGCAGAGAACTCAATCCAGCCACTGCTGAAATATTGCACAATCACCTAGTACCCCTCCTCTTATTTGCTGCAGGAGACACTGAGAACTACCTGCACACCTGGTATATAAAGCATGTCCTCTTTCCTTAGACTAAAATTCCCTCTTTTGTCTTTAACTTAATGTCCTTCATCTTTAACTCAACGCAGCAATGTCCACGAAAGCTAAAGAATTCCTCCATTTAACTGGGAAGTTGCACTTTTAAGCACATTCTGGTGAAGAGGAAGGATATCTGCTATCCATATTTTCCCTTCAGTGAGAGGTGGTAGGATCCTGCAGCCTGTTCCTGCTTTCTCAACGGCAGCAATTAAGAGAGGAATGTCTTGATTTACAGTGTATAGCTTTTCAGATAATGCTATGCAAAACCCACTGTCCTTTGAGGAACGCCAAGATTATGCCATTTCAAAACGGAGAGAAAGGCAGTATTAACTTTGCTCATGCTTCTAAGAAACAGTTGGCGCCTCCTGGTCCCACTGAATGAAAGTTATTGGGAACATAGCCACTGACTCCTGAGGCTTGAACACAAGATCGAGTTATGTGAGAGCCTGTTAAGGCTAAGTCTCTGGGACGGAGTTCATCATATGCTAAGGTTCCTAAATGAGGGTGGGAACTCACGTGTCATGTTGTATGGTAAACATCTCCAGAACATTAGAATATGGGGCTTTGCAAGTGACATAGGAGTGGCTTATTGTGTTTTCCAAAATGTGCAAGCAACTCCTCCAGGGGGACCAATTTTTTTACAGATGTGAGGACACACTCAGCATGAAAACAACACTCCCGGGTGCCAAAGCTTATGTTATTATAGAAAGAGGTATATATGCTGATCTATCAGTCTTAAAAACTTTAAAGGAATGTATAATGGACACATCCTAGCCAAAATTAAGTGCTTCCAAGTCCCATAGATTTAATGAATTATATTTTCTAAGTTCCAACTCAAACTGGGGGACCTCATAATATTCCAGCTGTAGCTGGACTGCATGTGATGAAGAATTTGAGAATGCATGTTGGAATTGAGTGAGACAGTTCTTTGCCCGAATCCAGACAAAGGCTAAAATTCACGCATCCAGCTGCAGACTGTTACTCTGGAGTAAACAGGGAGAGGAACCACCTGGTTGCGTGCTACCTCTGGTTCTGCATTTAGTTACAAAAGTTAGCAGAGATGCGGCTCTTACCCTCACCTGTTAGTAACAGGTATGGCCTTCTTCATACAGCGGTGGCTTATAACAGCTCATAACTTAGGAGTCTTTGATCCTAGGACTTAACTCTGAAAAGCCAAATGCGACCCTCCCTAGTTTGGGTAAATAGGGATAGGATCCCGCTTTTTCTTTGGTGTTGCCCGTAGGCTGTCCCTGTCGCCATTCAGTGTTTGCGCACGAGGGTTCCCGTGCCCCGCCCGGTAGGGGGGTATGAATGCCCCCCTCCCCATCCCACTTGGCTCGAACCGGCTGCCTGCGCTCCTGCTGTCAACCGGCCACGGCAGCTCGGCGCAAGACGACGCGGGTGCGCTCGCTCGGCCGGCCTCTCGGAAGCGCTCATCAGCCGCCCAGACGGGACCGGGCGCGCATCGCAGCCAGCGCCTGCCTTCCGAACGGGATGGGTGAG